GAAAAACTGAAAATGAATTCAAGATTCTGTAGCACCACTGTCTAGTCCCTATAATAATATTTTATTATATTATTAATATTCTCCCTCATCCCCCCCAATATTCCTTGAAATAGGAGAAACACAAAGATAAATTAGGTAAACCTGTGAACTTAACCAATCCATAGGACATTACAAAAATTTTCATGAACTGATCAAACTTAATTTTTGTCTTTATGTTTTATGCACAGGTGAAATATAACTTCAAGGAAAAGTGAAGATATATCTTAAAGATCAAAGGTTATGGTGTTTCTCTAAGACTTGTCTACTCCAATACTTAATGCCTAAAACCACACAGTCATTTACAGGGTGGTTTCAAGTCCATCCACTTTTGAAATTTTTCCACCAGAAATCTTCTACATACACCACACTCTCTCGCCAAATGAGGAGTTATATGAAAGTGCTTCATAACCAGAAAGACATGGTTATATTTATTATGATAAATGCTTTAAAATGAAGAATAAAACACAAATAATATCAGTAAATACTATTATGTGCATTAAATGATTAGAAGAAATGTTTCAGCTGTATGTGTGTAATGATGAAGATGATTACTAAAAATGATTATTTTTTTATTCAAAATGATTATTTATTAAAAAATGTCTACTACATTGGCAAGAATGTGGGGAAATGGAAATTCTTGTACAATGCTGGTGGATGGTAAATAAGAATGATTTTGCAATAACTATTATGAAGATGTACATAGCCAAAAACCCAACAACTGTACTTCTAGGTTAATAACCTACATAAATTCTATACAAGGACACAAAACATGATGTGCAGTTTGTAATGACAAAAAATTGGAACCAACCTAAATGTCCATTGATATAGAAAATAATAATCACACACTCTAACATATTCATACACTGAAATACAACAATGGATGATTAAAAGAATGAATCAACTAGATCTACATGTATTAATGTGGATAAGTCTCAAAACCAGAGCAAGTACAATTATAAAGGATGATATATTACCAGAACTTTAGGTGCATTTTAAAAACACAAAGATCATATTGCTTGCATATAACTTTAAAATTTCAAAGCAATGAAACACATCAACTTTAAGATAGTATGAAGGGTGGAAGAGAAAGGAAATTATTGTTACTAAAATATCATTAATGTTTTACAGATGCAATTTTTTAAAATTGTGTTATGAGTCAAATGGAGGCCTGGAAATTTGTCCACAGGCATCTTATTATTTTTTACTCTTTCTATTTGAACTATTTTATAATTAATCTTGCACTATCAAAATGTTAAAAAAGTGATTTCAGAATAGAAATATCATTTTAAATATGCCAGAAATATGTATATATTTGTGTATAGGTGTATGTATGTGTATGTGTATGGGTATATATACATATTCGTATGTATATAAGAAATTAGGTGTTTTAATAATAAGTTTTATACCAGTTCACAGGTTATATAATATATAGGTCCAAAGCCTTTGCACTTTGAAATCCCATTGCCTTCATTCAAATGCTAGTTCTCATATTTGAGGTTGGATGTTCTTGGATGAGTCACTGAACCTTCTCTGCAACTTGGTATCATCATCTGTAAAACAAGGATTATAATAACAACACCTACTTTGTAGGGTTGTTAGAATGATTTAATGAACTAAAATACAGAACATCACTTCCTATAATGTTTGATGAACATTAAATATTATTACATCCAGCAAAAGAAAAGACAATTGTTCATCAATTTTTATCTTAAATTGTCTTATTTATTTGTTTAAACTGGTCAAATTTTAGTTAATAGGTTTAATTAATCTGTATATTTAAACATATTTAATTCTTTTCATGGAACAAATTAATTATGGTCAAAACTAATTATTAGGGGCTGTGGCGTGACTCAGTGGTAGAATATTCACCTGGCATGAATGAGGCACTGGGTTTGATCCTCAACACCATATAAAAATAAACTTAAGGTATTTTGTCTATCTACAACTATATATATATTATATAAAATAATTATTATTAGAAATGGCAGCACCATCTACATAAATTTAAATAAATATCAACAGTTTTGTACATTATCATATGTGTTGAACAGTTTTCAATTTCTCATCTTTCACATGTGTCATTATATGAAAACATCAACTATAATAATCATCAACAAATGAGGTTTTTCTAGTTCATTTTGGATTTCAGATTGAGCTTTATTATCTTTTGGATTTTTTTTAAGTTTTCAAAGTTTTTGAGTTTCTCATGAGAAATAACAATGTTAACTTACTATCCCAACTGAGGATTTATGGTGCAGATCATAGAAGTCTTTAAAGCAGGTTTAGCAGTGGGGTGTTTTTCTTTTCGTTTTTTTTTTTTTTTTTTTCCTAGAGAGATTGGAATTTAATTGTTTCCTTTTTAGACAAATATACTTTTGGGTTGCCAGTGATGAAAGGGGCATACAGATGTCAAAAGCATTGTAGCACAGTGGGATTATGTGCTAAGGTCCAGGGCAGGACAGACAAACAAGCAAAGTCTCAGATCAGTCAAACAGTTACCTCTTAATAAAATCTCAAATGACCAACTTTTGTTTTGTCTTTGCCAATGTCCACCAAAAGTTCAGATGAAGTTTTGTTGTGTTAACTACTTACATTTCTTTTATTTTTTATTTTAACCATTTGTAAAAATAAAGGAATTTTTAAAGATGGAATTGAAACTTTGTTTAAAGGCAAACCAATTTAAAATAAAACAACACATGGTATACATATGCCATTCTTCCTATTAAAGCAAAACAAATTAGGCTTTAAATAGAAACCTTAATTATGTTATGTAACAGAACTGTGCTTAAATATTCTCTTTTGGTCATGGCAGTAATGATTTGTTTCACATTGCATTTCGTTGATAAACATTAAAGCAAAAATAATCATAATTTTAATTTTCAAACCACTTTAAAAGGAAAACTACATTGGCTATTTCTATGTATTTAAAAAAATTACAAAGTGCATGACCACCATTTTGAGTACCAGAACCCCACTTACTATTTATTTACTTTACATGATTTTTTATCATCAAGCATTTCAGGTACATTTTATAGCAAACTATGATTTTTTGTTTTGTTTTTTTTTGTTATTTCAGTATCTATTTACAATTTAGAGCAGAGATCACAAACTGATATCCCATGGACTGAATCTAGATCACATATGCATTTTGTTTTGTCTGAAAAGTGTTGCTTTTTTATTATTATTAAATTATTTACCAATATGTAAGGTTTGGAGAATTTCATATAAAAGTTTGTCTTCATAGCTTCTCTTAAAAGTAAGACCTTAACAACACTAAATCAACATTCCCACATGGGAGCAATCAGCTTAGGTGAGTAGTAACTACCACTTTTAGAAGAAAAATACATATTTTTAGTTCATCATATTTACTTCTACTCCCTATTGCTTATAGTCTTTCATTTATATCACTAGCCTTGCCTCCATAGGCATCAGGGTTTGTGGGCCCCCTGGTTCTCTATGGTTTAAGTGATTTAATACATATATTTTCAAAAACAATTCATGGTTTTCTCATATTTCAGCAAGTGCAAAATCTTATAAAACTCATATGTACATATGTAATGTGTGCTTTGATAACCTAAAAATGAATCTATATATCTATAAATACAGTTACACTTAATTAAGAGTTAATTTACATGTAATTTTACTAGAAAAAATAAAAATAAAAGCAAATTTCAATTCCTGACTTCAATTACATTTATATAAAATCAGAAATAGTTTCAATATCAAAACTTAAACTCAAAATTAAATCCATCTCATTCAGTTAAAATCAATCATTAATAATTTTTTGTTGGTTTTTAGTGTCCACAGCTTTGATGTCATAGTTGAACACAAAGTTTTGCACTTAAGGAGGTACATTCACTGCTTCAGGTCACTTGGGAATTATTTAGTATGCATGATATTTAAGACTAATTTTAATTCTCATTTTCTATATTAAAAACTTAAAACAATAAATCATAGTCCCCATCTCCCCCAAAGCCCTATTACATTTTTCTTATAGAAAAATATGGACAAAACTTGCATCAAGGGCAGTCTTAAAAGAAGGGGGAAAAAACATTATCAAACAGTAATTTCCTCTGAAAAGGGTATGTGAAAGAGAATTGGGACTCTATTGCCAGGCAATAACAAAATGTACATCAGGATCAGGGTTCCACTCCTCCCTTGTCTCTGAGTCACTACCCATTCTTTTCTGAATAACAAACTGAAAGAATGAGGCTTGGAATAATATGCTATCTCTATTTGTAATTTAACTGAAATTCCATAGATATTTCAGGAGGTTTCAAATGTAAAGCTTCCTGGACTTCCAACTATTTTCAAAATACATTACTGGGGGGAAAAAAAAGAATTTCAGATATTGTAGAACTACTAGCATGTCTACAAAATATAACTGTCCCTACTGCTTAGAACTTGGAAAGTCTAGTTCTTTTCCATGCTGTAGCACACTTAATAGCCTGTGCTACCCTGCAAAAGTGAATGTACCTTCCTAAGCATTCCCCAGCCAAGGGGTAGGTGGACATCTGAAGTACTTTCCCATTATTTTGCATATGTCAGTGACCCCCTAGGCCCCATCAACTTTTTTCTCTAGCTTCTGTTTTAGTTTCCAGGGAGGGAGTTGCTCCCTATGACTGCCAATCATCATCTCACTGTATGATCCTGGGATTCATTTCCAGTTAATAGATATAAATGATTACTAACTGGAAATAGTGAAACAGTGGAGACCCCAAATACTTAGAATGCTCGAATGGAAGGACTGACTCTAATAGGCTATTTGGATTTCATTTTTCTTATCATCAATAAAGGACTAAGTAAGATTCAACATTTGCTGCTGAAAATTCTAAGAGGCTCCCCTTTCCTATCTTAGGAAGTATAGTCTAGGGAACAAGATCATGGAAGTTGGGTTTAATCTGTACAGGCTCCAGGACATTCTCAGGAAGTTGATTTTTAAAAAATAAATACATAAATACCTGTTTACAGCTTGTTTTCTGGTCATTTGCCTCTTCCTTCTAAAAGGAGAGTGTAGCAAAAAATAAATAAATAAAACTGGTTAATTGAGAGTTCTGGTTAGTTAGCTTCTAATTAATTAAGGCTTTATTATATTTCACAAAAAAATCTTCTTAAATTCTGCAGAAATTTTAGATAGGTTACACACAATGAAAAACCAGCAGGGAAGAACACAAAGAAGGTAGGAAAGCCTGAATTGCTATTAGATAGTTTTTTAAATATATGGATAATGTTATTACATTCAGGTTTAATCCCAATTGAGTAAAAAATAATGTGAAATGTCATGTGGTTTAGGGCTTTTCTCTATATGAAGGCAAGGAAATAAAGTTATAGATTTCTGTTGAAGAAAATGGCCTCGGGTCGTAACAATTCCAAAAAACTATTCAGCAATATTATCTCTTTTCCCTTCCTTTCGAGAATCTTTCTTCCCATCCCATTGGGTATTCCACTACTTTTCAGGAGAGAAAAAAAATGTGTAGTTTTTTCTCCTTTTTTAAATTCAGTTAACAGTATGATGAAAATAAGTTATCACACAGCTCACTCTGTACTTATTTCTGGAGAAATACTGAACTATCTTACTTGTTTCCCACAAGGGTTACACATTCACACACACACACTCACACACACATACACACACACACAGTCATACAAACATCCATACAAAAGAAAATTAAACACATAAAGAAGAGATCAATAAAAATCTCACAAAGTTAGCTTAGTTAACAAAACAACCATTTTCTTTCTTTTTTAAAAGTTTGTTTTATAGTTGTAGGTGGATAGAATGCCTTTATTTGTTTACTTTTATGTGATGCTGAGGATCAAACCCAGTACCTCACGCAAGGTAGGCAAGTGCTCTGCCACTGAGTAACAATCCCAGGCAACCAATCTCTTTTAATTATTTTTAGTTGTAGGTAGACACAATACCTTTATTTTATTAATTTATTTTTATGTGGTGCTAAGGACCAAACTCAGTGCTTCACATGTGCTAGGTGAGCACTCTACCACTGAGCCACAACTTAGCCCCACAAAATAGCCAAGCTTACCAGTAGTATATTACTTTTCAGTGTTCCCCAATCATTTAGTAAAGAACAACAAAAATCTAAACAAACATGCTATAAAATCTATAAGGACTACAATCTTTCTCTTTTGGATATTATTGCATTTCTTAGTAGCAAAGAAACAGGAATCTCCTATGATGACCACAACAAATAATTGTGGTTGGTTCATCACTCCCTTTATTCAAATGACCTTTTTGTTAACTGTCTCGTTTCAGGCTTTTTGTTGGTTTTTTTTTTTAATTTTACATGTTTATTTTTTTAAAAAGAAATGGCTTCTGTGCTTCAAAAGTTTGTAGAAAGGTGTCTCAATTTAAGAAATGCAAACCTTTATCTAGTACTGGGGAAAAGAGTGAAAGGGAAGGTGAGCCTTTTTTTAATCTGCTTTTATATCTGTCATTTCATTGTTAAAAATATTTGATTTGGCTTTACAGTTTGGTCATTCAATCATTTTTGCAATGACAATCTTCTTAAATATGATATACTCATAAAAATCAAATCAATAATAATGCATGCTTCCTTAATCTAATGGCAATGCAATAGTATATTTGAGAGCCTTTCTCCACATTGTCAAAGATTTCCTCTTTTTCTTATGTGCAAAACTTTCTAAATTCAACAGAATTATTTTGGCTATCATCATGTGTATATTATTATATAAGCCCAAAAAATATAAAAATAATTTAACTATACTATACCATGGGCTTCACTGATAATTTATATTTAGATTATGAAATTACTGACTTCTGATACATTCTTGTTAAAACACTCTAATATATAAAATGCTAAGAGTTTATTAACTGACCTTTCATTAAAGATTATAAAGTTTCTTAGAAAAGTTAGAAGTTAACCTTGACATATGAAAATTCTGGATTTGCCTTGTCCTTTGTAAAGAATATATTTCACAGAGCTGCCTAACAGTAGCTATAACTCTAGCACTTTAAGGTATATAAGTTAAAAATATATTTGTCCCACAGTATCTCTGAGAAATTGGATCAAGGACCCCTCACAGATACTGAATATGTGAATGCTCAAGTCCCTTACATAAAATGGCAGGGTGTTTGCATATAATGTGTTTACATTCTCCTGTATGTTTCAAATCGTCTCTATATTATTTACAATACCTAATACAATGTAAATTATATGCAAATAGTTGTTATACCATATTGTTCAGGAAATAATGACAAGAAAAAAATAATTTGTACATGTTCAGTGCAGAAGCAATGTTTTTCACAAGAATTTTTAATCCACAGTTGATTGAATTCATGGATAGGAAACCCATAGATACTGAGGGCTTGATGTATTTTATTTTTTGCATTCTAGGTAAAATGTGATTTATATTCTTCTGCATTTGTTCCTTTTGTGGATAATAACTATTTCATTTTGGAATTTCCTTGTACTTTGCCAAATAATCAACATTTTGGAGTATGTTATGGAACAAACACATCATTCTACTAATATTATCAGCAAAGTACAGAATAGCCTATCGTGTGAAGAAAATTATCTGAGTTCCCTAGAGTTGGCCTAGAATGTTTCATATCCCTTCTAATTCCTTTGTATACTAAAGCTTCCTATTTGCTTTTTCTCCCCATTTGTCAGTATGGGTATGAAATTAAAGTTATAAACAAAGGGCCTGAAATTTACTAAAACTTATCTTTGTGATTGAAATACACATGTGACCATATTCTTACAAAGCCACTGGCAAAAAAACAGGTTACATATAGTCAAAAACATTGCATTAGATATGGTACTCAATATATCTCTACCAACAGAGGTCCTACAACATATGCTGGTAAGTAGTAAGGGTTTTCAACATAGCTCACTGACTCCAGCTATCATTGCTGCTATATGCCATTAGAACACTGATTAATGTTACCATAGAAAGACCCTTTCTCTATGTACAAGTTATAAATATAAGATGATTCTACTCTGGCTGAGACTCAAGAAGTTAATAATTAAGAGCATCCTGTATTTTGAATTAATCAAGGTCACTTTTACTCCGTAACACTGCTAGATAAATTTTCAGACTTTGATTCTTCCAAATTTTGTTGCAAGGCTCTTCACAGTTAATGGCAGGGATGTAGCCATCTTTGATTGAAGTCAGTCTTGTAAAAGACTCAGAAATATGTAACTATCACTTTTGAAACCGAAATCTAGACCACAGAACTACATTTAATAATACAAAGAAAAACAAATATTTGACAAGAAAGGATAAAATACCACAAAATAAGAAATCCACTTAAAATCTCAGAAACATTGGCTTGGTCTTTTTCAGAATAAATTGAAAATCCACTATCAAATTTAACATAGTAAGTCCAACATCTGATGTTAGGGTAACTAAATAGAGTGTTCCTTTCTTTAATTCTTCAAACAGGACAAAGACCTTCAATAGATAATTTTAAAGATACAGTCAACCTTTGAATTTCAGGAGCAGTGCTGGTGGGTAATGTAAGGAAAGACAAAGTGGGCACATTCCTTTCTATATGTTCAATCAGTGCAGCTTTTCTATCCCCATGTGATATATTGGGGGTGTCTGAATTGTTGTTGACCTCCCACTACCATGACCATTTAACAGACAAGGAAATTAGTCCTAAGATGTTCAATTATTTGGCCAATGTCTCAGAGCAAGCTAAAGTCAAATGTATACTGATCCCTGATTCATAGCTACAGTTTGTAAATGTGTGATCTTGTTTCATCTACTGAGTATTAAGGAACAACTTTTTGAAGACTGATCTCAAAGTCTCCCCTGTTTTATCCTCCTAGGGACATAATAAGATCAAAAGACATTACGTATGCACTTAGAGTAGAAAAGATGATTTGTGGCTCCCTTGATCTCTAGGCCAGTAGATCTTTCTATACTCTCCTATTTTTTTATTTTATTTATTTTAATCAGAAGCTATAAAATGCCAAACCAAGCCTGCCAAATATATATTTGATTGTATTACCCAGAGCTTTAAAACTATGTAAACTTTATAGAAAAACTGAATTTCAAGTTTTTCAAAAATGTAAAAGCTGACAGTACTATTTCCACATACTTATTGACTCTGCACAACTAGAAGAAGTAGAGAAGCAATGTCTACCAATAGACATGCACTCTGCTGCCTCCTACAATTCCCACAATTTCTCATGACCCTACAGCTGGCCCTCTTTAATGAATTCATGTTATCACTCTGGTCCCAGTAGGAATTTGAGTTTTAGGACCACTATTTGAAAGTTTGAGGTATAGTTTAACCAAATATTATTTATTTTTTTTCAAATTAGTTGTGGGATCTCAGGAAATTCCATGTATGTAAACTGTTTATTGAAGGGGCACTGAAAGTAGTAGATCATATACCTAAAAATGTTGGAAGTCCTTTCTTTAACAAGTAAAGACAAGTCTTGACCATTGAAGTTGACACCACTATATTAAAGAAAATCCTCTAATAAAACAGGTTGTACTAGATGAAACAGATTCCATAAAAACACTGATGACAATTCACCATAACTATATCATTTGATCAGAGTAATAGTCATTCATTTTAAATTTCCAAAATATCAATAAAATATTTCCTGATTTGAAATGGGAGTCAGCTGTTAACTTGGCCTACACTGCCATGTTGTTATTTTTTTGTTGGGGGGCAGGGAGTACTTAATTAGGCTATTTCTTACACAGAGAACTTGTGCTAGCCAAATCATCTGTTTTTCTAGTTCAATACAGTAAACAAAATGTTAATTTGCAAACAGACGTAGAAAATAGAGCATAAATCAAGCAATGCCTTCCTCTCCCACATGACATGGTAGGTAGAGGGTAAATTTCCAGTAATTATGTGTTAGTAAACCTTTTAAAGGTTGTCTTTAGGGATAGGACAAAATCATATTAACTGTTGCATTACCACTGTTGAAGCTTTTAGCAAACTTTTCTCTTACTCTTAGCTGGTAAATTTATTCATTTTATATGTCAATTCTTTGTG